GCTTTTCTTACACATTCAGCTTGTTGATATTCATGTGGTTGGATTCATTATTACAGAGTCAGAATGTGATAACAGATGGAGTCCACAGTTCTCATCTCAAAGTTGCTGCATAGCTGTCACTAATCACATTATTCAGTGTAAACTATTGCTTGATTGAATGACAAGAATTAGAAACTTTTAATTACTAGAAGAACTTAGCTTACTACTTAGCTCGGAGTACTGTTAACCTGAAGTTTGGAATACTTCAAACCAGTTTTGGCATGCACTTAACAATAAATTCCGATATTAAATTGATGAATTTAAAAAGTTGATCCTGCCTTCCCCTACCCCACCCGCTGTCTGGGGGCCTGAGCTGAGGGTCACCCCTCTACCAAGTCAGTAGGAATGAGCAAAAAAAACTCATTAAAGTCATTTTTGACCCACTACCAAGCCGACCCTGTGATTTCTCATATAAACAGTTATCTAATATTTAGAAAGAGATCTGTGAAAAGTTCTCTCGCCTGATCGCGTGGATCGGTGTTGAGGGGCCTAATCCACGAAAAACACTGCTGTCTGCAAAATCGGGTGCACGTGTGTTTTTCGGCCCTTTCTAAAATCTCTTAAAATTCACGATACAATTTCACTGTTTCTAAACCAATGAGGGATCACTACTAAATGGACTTACCTTGAATTCAGTTGCTTTTACCTCAGTTTGAACACTTTCCTCTCCAAAAATGCTCGACATTATCAAGAGCCACCAACAGTAACAATTAGAGATCTGGGTACGAGACTATGTTATTAAAATGACCGAATGGATATCTGGGATGTACTGATTAGAAAATGAAAACGAGGTTGTGGATTGCAAACGAGGCAAAGGTGGAGATTCCGGGAAAGGAGAACTTCCACAAACTATAAACCACCCAAAATTATCATGTCTGAGCCAAAGCAACTTCAGCTTCAGGTGGAGGGGCTTAGTAATTTAATGGCAACGCTGAAAGAACACGAAGGAAAGAGAAGAACGGTCATGTTTATCGGCTCAATGAACGAGAGTGGCGAGAGTTGGTGTCCAGACTGTCGAGAAGGTTTGTAACTTTCTGATCATGTTATTTCCTGTCAGAATAATGAACCTCACGCTCCTTCAACATCCGTGAGTTGTGATTGAGAACTTGTTGTTGTTCGACGCTACACTGACTCTTTCAATTCCTTGCCTGTTAGATGAAGAAAAACCTGAGATTTTGTTTTCTGTTCGTTTGTTCCTCAATACGTCTTGAAGTGTTTTGATTTCATTAATTATATTTCACATCTAACTGCTGGGCTACACCCAACGTCTGATTTTTCACATGACCAGCTGTGTACAATCCACTGGGCAGATATTTGCCATCAAAGTTGTAAACGATGTTTCCTAGTATATTAAATTCATGAGACATAAACGGATAAAAAGTAAAATTTTCTCCTCAGTGCATGTTCTGATGAACGTAAAATGTGACCCAGAATGAAACGAAAACCTCACCTCGATGATATCCAGTGAACATTTTTAAAAGCTGTAATTCTTGAATAATTCATAATGTAACATGATATGTTCTCAGGTCTGGAGCAAGTCATCAACTGACTCTCTGCTAATTTGAAGTTTGAAATCTTTCAATTTTATAGCTCTTGTTATTTTTGTAGACTCTATGCTTAATTCAGAGGTTTCATACTTATGTGTATGATCTAGTCCAGGTTGAAATAAGACATAGAAAATGCAGGGGGTTCTTTAGACTCCCCCCTCCCCTTTTTTCACAGTAAAAAATAAGTGAGTAAAGAAACAAGAATAACTGAATACTTATGAGTACTGTGCAGCTCTTCTTTGTTAGTGGATTATATCCCTTGACAAGAAACTGCTCCAGTCAGATGCCTTTGGACAAAACAATTATTGGGAGCCAAGCGCATCTAACTACTTTAATTTCTTTTCTTCTGGTTAAATAGTTTGTGTCTTAATTAGGGGAAGATGTGAAACAATGTATGCTTTAAGAATCAGCATATGACTTAAAACCTTCCTTGCAGAGCCAATTTTGCCAAGGAAAATTGATAATGAGGTTCAATCCACACTAATACATTTTTAGACACAATAAGTATTTGAAGCAAAAACTCATCAAATGCTTCACATCTGTGCCCCCTTTTCTGCAGTGCTTTCACTGTCCACACTTTAAAACACTCAAAACACTAATACCCTATGACAAAAAAACTACAATCCTCACAAGCCAATGCACATGCAAGTAGATGACATGATCAGCGTTTTCACTGTCCTCACTATTACAATAGGGCTTAATGCATTCAAGTGTCTCCACTGTGGACAGTGGATGAGCATTTGGTAAAACTCCATCAAAAAATAGGCGTCATCCTGCAAAAATCCAGAACTGTTACAGGCAAATATTCCCTAATTCTATTGACTTAATATTTAAGGTTACTGAATGTCGTTTCAGTCACCAAAAATTGGCTGCATTTCCTTTTTGATTGAAATACCATTTACACAGCATCAGGATCCAGAATTGCTTTGAAGGAAATTGTTGGATCCCTGGTATATCAAAAGGTTAATTAATAATAGCATGGCTCAATAAGTAGTGTAGTAAATTTCATCAATGAAAGCAAGATTTGAAACAAATTTGAAGGTTGAATGATAAATTGATTATTCTTGAAAGTAAAAAAATTGCTTTGAAAGAGCTAGAGGTTTGTAAATGTTTAACACTACACTTGTTATTCTGAATATATTTCCTGCAGTTGTAGAAGACTTAACATCAGACGTTTTCCTTGGAGCTGCTGCGCAGGCCCTGAAATATTGACCTTTTTTGTAAAAATGCAGATGGTAACCTGGTGTAATGGGTTTGTTGATGGAGATCAAAATGGAATTTGGACTGTTTGTTTTTATGGTGGGAAGAACACCGAAGAACCTGTTAAATATTCCTTAAAGCTAGGACGGGAACCTCTATCCTCAAAGGAAAAAAACTCAGTGCAAATATAACCTAGGATCTAGGGAGAACTCTTACAGCTGTACGAGCTCTTCTCCCTTAAATTAGATTAAACTTGTGAACCATTAGGTTTATTTGTCACCATACCCAGTTTTGCATGATCAGTAGTTTGTGAAGACATAAAAAGTACAAACTGAGTGCTGTTTTATATTTCAGTGGAACCAGTTGTAGAAGCTGCTTTGCAACAGGCCTCATCTGACCTGGTGTTCATTTTGGTTATTGTTGGTGATAAGCCTGAGTAAGTTCACTCTTTTAATAAAGGTCCAGAAAATTATTCACTAATTATTTATGTTGTTAACTTTTTTTGAACTGACCTGTTTTTTTTTTTTAAATAGTTATTTAGTTATTTATTCCTATGATTCAACTGGATCTGTGAACCCAGCATTGTTTCTAAGGAGATAGAAAGAGACAACACTTTCTTTTGGGAAATGATACTTAGCTCTTATTAACTGAGCAGGAGGTCTGTATGGGAGAATCTTGACCGAGGTCTGTACACATGACCAAGGTCAAGATTCTCACATACAGACCGACTAAGCTCGGTTAATAAGATGTTTATTACATGGCAAACTAGAAAAAATTAATACGTTTAATGTAACTGGTTTGTGCAAGCTAACATTTTGCTTGCGAACGGCGATGAGCTGAACTAAATTCTGCCAAAGTTTGCTCGTTCTCTTTACTTTTTTTCCTCATCAGGCTTGGCACTTCCATAATATGAATATTTTCTGGAACTAATATTTTGGACGAAAACAATCAATATTTTTGTATTTAGTTTGCAACTTTTTCACGGCCAAGTGTAATCGATGGAGATGCCGGTCTAGATGGGAAAATCTAGACCGCAGTCAATATCGATTTCAGCCAATCAAATTTGTGAATTCGTTAGTTCCCAGTCCTTGTGAGACACAGCCATATAATAAAGAATGACATCAAATGTTTCCCACTGAAAGGAGCCCATCTTATGACATTTCTATGTAATGCTTGTGACTCACACAGGTATAAAGTTATGCTATTAGTCCGTGGGTACCTATCAAGTCAGGTACTCTTGAATACTGTGTTGGTTAACTCAAAATACTTGAACACACAGGAAAATTACTGAATAATATCTTAACACTAGGCTAATAATCAACTTGAAGGTGATAAAGGTACATTAACTGCCATAAAACATTTCTGAAGCCATCATTTAAACCATTCATCCTTCAACTTTGCTTTGCTCAGTTTACACTCGCTAAGGACTAATGATTTAAATGTTTGCTTCACAAACTCGCTAGAGCAGTTAATATTCCTAGTTTATCAATTTCAAGTTCAACTACTTGATAAATAGCTATTAATAACTTGACCACCAACACGTCCCAAACATTTCTTTAGAAACCAATAACTTTGTAACTCTTTACACATCAGCTTTACACTAGCTAGTAAAAGTCAGATTTTACTGCCAAATCAATTTCTAACTAGCCAGATTTTCCATTTCTCAAGTTTTGGGTACTAAGTGTTTTTTTGTTTTATGGCATATGCTAAAACCTGAAACAACAAAACAAAACCATTGAAACAAAATCACTGAAATCAGCAAAACCACTGAAATAGCTTAAATGAAACAACCTACTTGTAAATGAAACCACCTAAACAACCAACATAAAATTGTGCAAATGACAACACAACCAAAAAAAGAACAAGAAAAAACAACAACAACAACAACAACAACAAAAAAAACAGGAAAGAACATAAGTGAAATTTGGAGGAAAATGTACTAGATTTCCTTTCAGATATTGTCTGGACTTTAAGGGTTTCAAACAGTAAGGCTCTCCTATTCTTATTAATCTCAATACAGTTGGCGAGGGGTGATTGAGGAGCACCAGGCCAGCTATCAAAGTTGATGGGAAAAGAGAGCGAGCCATGTTATTGGTTGAGCATGACCCACTGACTAATCCGTCAAACAGCAATCTTAAAAATTACTGGTATTCCAGAAACTTAAAAAAGGCAAAGTTTATGTAATTATGAAAGGACTGGTAAGCTCTTTGCTGTTCAGTGATAATTAGACTGGCTGCCTCTGTTTCGCCAATCAGATTGCACATTTACATAGTAGTCAGTCAGTGGGTTATGCTTATTAAGTTTGATATCTATGGTAGTCAGAGCTAACTAGCAACCTATTTTAACCCTGTAAACTCCCAGGAGTGATCAAAATGTAATTTCTCATTGCAATACCTATATATCATTAAGTAGGCAGGTGATGAGAATACAGAAAATCATCAGCTTAGCAACATTGTCTTGATATACAATCTATTCACAGAACTGCCAAAAAAAATTATGGCTACCAGTAAAAAGAATTTCTGTGAACTTCGGACTGAAACGATGATTATTTACTGTAGAGGACATTTGCTCAATGAGACAATTGTTTTGTCTTTTAACAGATGGAAATCACCTGAAAATGAATTCAGAAAAAGTGAGTTCAAACTCACAGAAATTCCAACAATTGTGGACTATGGCACTGTAAGTACATTTGTTTTACAAAATTTATGTTTTTAGATTCAGAGCAATTTTCAGTTGAAATGTCATAAAACCAAAACTAAGTAATCACTGTCCAATCACAAATTACAAACTAAAACAATCTTGTGAGCCAATCAAAACACATTTAGAAAATTAAATACACACAGCCAATGCAAAGCATGTGAAAATATTTGTGTGCTATTTGTGATAAAATGTTGGTTTTGTTTTTACTTCTGATCGGATAACAAGGTGGGGTGAGTTTTTTAAAACTAATCACTTAATATGTGTAGTGATGCAAAACTAAAGCAAACACAAAATACTTTCACATTATTTTCAATTGATGTTCAAGTGAAAAATGTTCTATACAGATCATGCTGTTGGTCATGTTGGCTGACCCTATCGGGCCAATATATCAACCGATACTTGGTCCATATGTTGGCTGAGTATTGGTCGAGACTTGGCCAATACTTGGCTGATATACCAGGTGATAGTTGGTGGAGTGTCAGTTGATACGTCAGCAGATGTATGTCAGTCAAGTGTCACTCAAGTGACGGCCGACATATTGACGAATACTATACTGATACTCAACCCACACTCAGCCGACACTCGACCGACATTCAACCAACTGTTGGCTGATATATTGGTCAGGTGTCCATGTAGTGGACTGGTATCAACTAACGGGCGAATGTCTTTTGAGATGTACAATGTATATCATGATGTTTCAACTGTTTAAGTTGCAAGTCTTCATCAGGTGACGAGGTTGACTGAATACGGGGTATCATTTGTATCACAAATCCATGTACACTTTAATTTTAACTCAATGTAATACAAAGGCTAGTATTCACATACATTTCATAGGCATTGTAACCTATTTTTCTTGTCGTTTTCTCAGGATAAAAGGCTGGGATGTGAAGACTGCAAAATTCAGGACAAAGTGGACAAGTTCTTTTCAAACTGAAAATGAATGACCCAAAGCGATCACAACAAGAACAATCATAGGCAGTGTGCTTGTTGCTCTGTTTGTGTGTAATAAGTTGCGAAATGTGATACACTCCAAAACCCTACAGATTTGAAACTTAACATTTGCTCAACCTAATTATTACAAGTATGTTTGCATGAAGAATCTAATGTTATTAAATTATGAAAATAGAAATTAATGAGCTTTGCAAATTTGGCAACAAAGAAAGGAAGGGTTGGTTTGTGGGAAGAAAAAGGTGATCTTGCCCCTGAACATAAATAAGATTTTATTCTTTCAAGTTCAGTGCTCACTCGTGAGATGTAACTTGGCTGATGGAGTAAGAAATAAGTTGAAATTTGTCTTGAGATGAAAGATAAATTATCTGTAGCTTAAAGCAGATAGTTGGTCTCAAGTTATCTTCAGTCCTGTAACTATTGGGTTAAGGTCCACAGAATGTCACTTGGTGAGATAGAATGTTTGCAATTTACAGATGTCACATTTTGCAGACAACGTTATCTGTAGTAGTATATGAAATATATTTTTCTTTTTTTAATGAAATTGCCAAGTAAAGGTTTAGATAGAGACTTTCCAATCGATATCTTCAGATGTATGTGTCTGTAAAAGTTAGTTGTGATGTTATGTTATTAAAGTGAAAGCCGTGAATAAGCTGGAAGCAGATTCATTGTGTTCATAGCTTTTGAAGTAAACTACTTCACGTCACTGACTACAGGTGATCATAGAGTGCCTGAGTGAAGGCTCGAGAGTTTGTAAGACTTGAGTGTGTGGATTTGAAATTCACCGTCCGGAGACAAAAAAAATCACTTTTGCTTCAAAGGCTGAGCTGCAAAAATTTAAACTTCACCTAGATATCTTAGCTTTTCTTGTTTTTTCGCTTCCGTATGCTACATTTAATTGGTGATTTTTCCGTAAATTCAGTGATCAGCCTCTTAATTGCCCATAAATTAGTCTATCAACTTTATTGCGTTGCTGTATTACCAATTTCTTACAACTAACATGAAAAAGAATGTATGGAATTCACTAAAACTCTGAGCTTGGGATTGAAAACCGGAGTTCAATTGGAAAGATGCACTCACACGAAGAAAGGTTTACGACAGAACCGTTACAAATTTTCAGACGACGCAGAAAAATATACTTTAAATTCAGTTGTACAGGTGCTCTTGAAGAGAATAACATTACAACTTTCCTTTTACAGCAAAGCTAAGTGGTTATGTGACGTGAATGAAATCATCCGGACAGACAAGAGTATTCAGTCAATTGCCGACTCACTCGGCTACAGGAAGAAAGAACTGTTTTGAGTGTTCATGTGACGCGGGAAAGATAGGTTAATTAGGGTGATCATTTGTAAGGTTTTTATGGACGGAAAAAAGATTAGGAACAACAGGTTTTTGGAGAATAAAAGCTCCGGGCGACAACGGGAATACGTAATTAGTCACTGTTTATTAGCAAGAACAATAACGGAAAAGCTATTAAGCCAGATCGCGAGACGGTCAAGGGCACGCTAAATTATGATGAGAAAAGACCGGACAACGCACTTGAGTAGTACTTCAAACATGAATTGAACTAAAACTTAATTTACGCTAAAATTTGCTGGTAGGATTGATAAATATTTGTCGAAATTAGCATATTCCGAGCAATGAGCCTTCATTGAAACCCTTTAAAGTAACTGTTGTGCGAAAATTTAAAGTTTAAAAGTTTCTTCATTCGTCAAACCAATAGTTTTATCTCAGTCCTCACAGAGTTTAAATGAGGCTGTCCCTAAGATGAAAAGCTGAAAATGGGACTAGTACAGCGTTTGTATAGAAGGACATTTCGATCTGGTTCAGTAAGTACCTTTTTGGGGGGGGGGGAAAGTAGTATAGGACGCTTATATGAGCGGTAACCAATCAGGAGCCGAGAAAGACAATAGACTATTGTTTGGAGAACAATGGATGCTATTGTTTTCCAAATCCAAGATGGCCGCCACAAATTTCAACCAATCAGGAGCCGAATTAAGAATTCAAGATGGCGGCGCCCACGAAAGTCGGCCATGTTGGAAA